TTTTTTAAAAAAAAAAAAAAAAAAAATAAAAAAGCCCCCCATTCCCCGGCTGCGGCCGGGTGGGGGGGGGGGGCCATCCCTGCTGCCCCCCACTGACTCATGCTGCATGGGGGGCTCTACCACAAGTCCCCAGAAGCCCTGACAGCTGCTGCAGCAGCCAGTGAGTGCGGGGATTTTATTTTATTTTTTAAAGAACTGGAAGCTGGGGGTCAGGTGGAGCAGTCATTGTCAGAGTCAGGGACAAGTCTGAGTCTAAGCTTCTCTCAGCATCACCCTTCAAAAGATCTCATGGCACACTAGAGTGCTCGCACCTTCTCGAAATCAAATCAGCACTTGAAGCTTTACACAGCCCTAGTAAATGAGCATGTGTAGACATGACCTGTAAAAAGGAATAACAATAGTTGAATACTTAAGAGATAAGAAAGTAGTGGGTCCAAAGAGAGAGTTTATCAGCTCAATTAATGACTCTGAATCACTTTTAACCCCATGAATGTGCTACATAAAGTAAATGTAAATTACTATGCTATACATTAAAAAAAAAAAATCAAAATAAAATCTGCAAAAAGTTTAATACAAACAACTCCATTTATACTGAAATCTAGTTATATGCATAGAGCAGTAGTTCTCAACCTCTTCAGACTCAAGGCATCCCTATATACCTTTTGTGAACTGAGTGGCACCACATTTCAAAAACTAAGTTTATTATAGTGTTAATCCCCTTGCAGAGGGGCTGGCCAATGGAGTCAGGGACAAGTCTGAGCCTAAGCTTCTCTCAGCATCACTCTTTAAAAGATCTCATGGCAACCTAGAGTGCTTCAGCACCCCGATTGAGAATCACTGGCATAGAACAAAGATACATATTGGATTACAGCTTCTGTAATGGATGAATTCATTTGATAGCTACTGATAAAGATGCCTCCTGTCCTAGCCCTACCAAACTGCTATTGCTTTTCATATCCATGGATAAGTACTGAGCCTATATAAGATAGAACATTAAAAATGAAACTAAAACTAGATCCCTTGGTTCTATCTTTCCCTTATATAAAACACCGCAAATTATTTGAACCTGCTTCTGCAAAAATGACTCCTGCACAATGCTGGGCTTTGAAAGGAACCTTTTTAATGAATCAAACTCCTGATATAAAAGTTTTACCCACTAATGAGAGAGAGAAAATTATTCCCAATAATAAAGAACCAATTGTGGCCTAGTCACAAATTTAACACTGAATTTCTTATGTCTTTACAAGTTTTAAAATAATAGGTTTACCCACCTTTATCAACCCCCTTTCCTTATAAATTCCAAGAAAACTAGACAAAATATAGATTTTAACTAAATTGGTAAGGAGAAGACTGCTAGCCAGTTCTTCTTAGCATTATTTAGAACAGCCAAGTTTAATAACAGTTCATAACCAGTACAAAATGTTTAGTATACAAAATTCTGAAGTACAGAATATGTTTACAGTTTATACAAAATCTGGATTGAAATAGCATCCTCCCAACCCCTCATTTCTGATTTAATTTTTTTGGGGGGGGGGAAATTATCTCACTGATCTTTCATTCATTTTAATTCATTCACTTATGACAAAAATGTGCTGAGACTGTACTAAAATGATAAACTGGATATTTCTATCTGCTTTATTTAGCAAGGAAACTATTTAAGCTTTGATGGAAACTGCTCACTTGATGGATGACATCTTGTTATAGTGGTAAGCATGAAGAAAACTGGTTGGGTGTTTTTACAACACAGCTGTTAACTCTGTGAACTTTACATAGTCTTTTTAATTGTTATTGGCACTCTGTTTACAATGTGTAATAATGGTTTAAACTAATAAATAAAAAATTAAAAGTAATTTGATACATGAAACAGCCCTGTATATCAAATTAGAATATTATTATGAGAAATGTTTATGCCTAGCCATAAACAAACTTGCATACATTTTTAACACCATATTAAGTTTCAAGAAATGCTGGTTCCTCCAGCAAAACTAGAAATAATAGTGAAAAGATAACTTTTTGGAGAATTTATAACTCAAAACTTATTGGTAGCCAAAATAAAAGGAGGAAAAATTATGGAGTCTTTCTAATGCTACAGCTTCCATCATCACTGATAATGTAAGATTAGGTTAAAGGCTGCCTCTAGCTCTAGCCAGACAGAAAAATTCCAGTACTCACATTTCAAGACTCAGATAATTTCTCACTGTGATCTTGAAGTTAGCTTTAATTAAGATCATGACTCAACCTAGTACCTGGGGCCAAGTTTCATAAGAAATGCCCCTGAAGCCTCAGAACCAAGAAGCTGACTGATACTCTCATAAGGGCATAGACTAGCATATACATTTATAAGCAAGATGGACCTAATCAGGTTTTAACACAAAACAGGGTTTTGTAAAATAGCCTCCTGCATTTCAGCATAAAGCATTAAAGCAGAACTGAAGGAGACACTAACACTGTTCAAATTTCTCTACAGATTTTGAGAATTGTAATGAACCACTGTGTAATGGACACAGTGCATCAGCCTCTGAAGAGGTCCTCTCAAAGTAAAGAGATGGGGATTTGGGACATAAATCTCAGCAAGGATTCCAGATCGAATTCTGTGCATCTCTGAGTGGAAGGTAATTTAGTAAAACTTAAGACTTCCTACATGCACAGGAGATAATAGGTATAGCTAAGTTTAGTTAGACTTGGAGCCTTCAAGAGGCACTAAGCTACTTTGGGATTGCCTAGCTAGAAGATAGGATGCATAACTTCAGTGATACAGAGACTGCTCTGTACAGCACAGTTACATTGACGGATCAAATAGGTGGGTGAAAGGGGCTCATTGTTTTCTTTTAGCATATACTGCCAATGCAGCTATAGAAAGACATAAGATTCTATGGTCAGAGACCGTATTAGCTTTTTCTTGTGCTTACCCCAGAAAAAAAAAAAAACAATTAAAAAGTGTAAATCCCTAGAGTCAATTTTCCCAACCTTACCTGAGAGCTTTATTGAGTTGACATTCAACTACAAACGTCCTGACCCTGCTGCAAGGGCCTGTTGACTTTTAATGCCAGTTTGTGCTGCTCTCCATTTTTTGCTGTGTTCAACAGAACAGAATGGGAGCTGTAGTAGGATGTACACAGGTGGTTCAGGCTGCCTTTAGCCATAGTCCTAGGCATGTATTAAAACAGTCTCTGAACTTATCAAATTTGTCAGCCAGCAACAGTCCCTCAGGAACTCTACTTGGCATAGTCCCCCATATCACCACGTATATGGAGATGGAGGCAGAAAGCCAGCCACAATACCTTATGTCCACAGGGTACTTCCTGACCACAGCAGTTGCCTGAGGATGCACACATGGCCTCTGCTGCTTTAGTGGCATTATAAAGATTCAGAGAATGTAAGAGGATAGACAATATTCCCATTAAAAATCCATATTTTATATTATGTCATAGTATAATTTATAGGCAGTTTTATATTGCCTTCAGCAGAACCTTGCACAGAAGATTTCAACTAGAATGCAGATTTTTCCTGGAAAGGTTATGCTTTTCCAGAATAAAAGAAATCATTTGACCACGGTTTAAACTTCTTTTTTAAGCTATACGTTTTAAAAAAAAAAATTACACTAATTGACATTTAACATAGGCCTTTTGGCATTTAAACTTTCTTTTTTGATGGTGGTGAAGATTTTATTTTTTTTCCATTTTTCATTCCTTTTGTTCCTCAAAGGACTTAGAAGCCCTTATATCATAAAATATTCTTAAAGCACTTGTCTGATACTGCATTACAATGCCAAGAAAGGAGAAATTGTCAATTCAAATCTATAGAGACCACTTATTATGGCAAATTATGATGGTAAACAACGTCAAGGCAACTCATTACAGTTTTAAAATGCTGTCAGTGCAAGACATACTAACATCAAAATTTTAGAAAAGGAGAGATGAAACAAAAACAACCAGTATAATAAATCATTCCTAGCAATTATAGAGGATTTCAGTTCTTCAAAGGTCTTAAATAAAATAACTAGGCATTGCAAAGCTCAAACTAAGTTACAAAAACAAAAACTTCAAAGTCACTAGAGCAGTCCAAAGCTTGCCTCTATTTTATTTAGTAGCTGCAACATGAATTGAATTGTGCTAACGTCTCCTGGCTACCTAGCTGGTAAGGCAGAAAGAAGGAAGAGCTGGGAAAGAAGGAAGGGCACCTTCGAGACTAACTGGTTCAGAACTACATAAGCTTTTTATGGGAGAAGCCAACTTTGTCAGGTAGTAAAAGACAAATCTGATGAAGTAAGCTGCTGCCCAAAAAGGTTTATGCTTCTCTGAACCAGTTAGCCCTAAGGTACCATCCTGCCCTACCTTCTGCGTGATTTCAGACTTACATGGCTAACTACCTTTTGATTGGTAAATAAATGTAGAAAAATAGTGGAGGCAAGCTGCACTTTCAGGAATGTTCTGGAATGAAGAGCCAAATAATATGCCAGTATCGGTGCTGTGTCCAATTATAAGGAATCTATGGATTGATGAAGTGCATTTAGGACATCTAATAAGAGCTATCTAGCAGGTAGTGGGCATTAGGGCTGTGCAAAGCTTCAGTTCCTGATTTGGATTCAGCGGAGATTCAGCCCAATTCGGTGGCTGAATCCCCAAATCCGAACCAAATCAGGAGACCCTTGAATCTCTCCAAATTGAATTGGAGCCCTCTGAATTGATTCAGAGAGATTCAGAAAGATTTGGAGATTCAGACACAGACACAGCTTTAAATGTTTTTTCTACATACTTCAAGGTACCAGGAGGCTCGTCAATGCTGCAATGCTGGGGTGGATGGAGCGTCCCACAGGAGTGTGGGATGGTCCCCAGCATGCTCAGCAGCAGAACCAGAAGTGAACCAGAAGCACTCCTAGTACACTTCCAGGTCCGCTGTGGAGCACACAGGGCCCTCCCTGCACCCTCCAGATCAGCTCAGCGACTGGTGCCTCCTGGGTCTGGGGAGGCATCCAGGGTTCCCTTGTAGCTGATTGCCAAGCTGGAGGGAGTGCAGGGGGGGCAGCCCTGCATGCTCCACAGTGGACCTGGAAGTAGACTGGAAATACTTCTGGTCCACTTCCAAGCACACTGGGGGGGGGCCCACGGTCCTGTAGGATGCTCTGCCCCAGCATTGCAGCATTCATGAGCCACGCCTGATACCTCAAGGTACGTAGAAGAAACATTTAAAAGCTGTGTCTATGGTTGAATTGCTGATTCTCCGAATCAGCATTGAATCTTCAGATTTGGATTTGGCCAGATCAAATTGGGGACAGCAATTCGAATCAACTAATCAAATCACTGTCTCCAATTTGGGCTGAATCCAAATCAAATATGGCCCATTTTGCACACCCCTACTGGGCATCTGTATTGCCCATCTACCTCAGCGGTACATCATAAGTATTGTCTATCTGCATTCTAGAATCCTGTCTCCCACCATCAGGAATACTGGGGGACATTGCAGAAGAGACAGAAAACATGAGGGAGGAAGTAGAGATCTTACTGTATTGAAAGAGAAAGAGATACAAAGGAATATGGGATATAGGAAGAAAGAAGCAAGAAACAGGCCCTAAAGACTCAATGTGATCTGTTATCAGAAAGAAAAAACAAACAACAGAACGAAGCCAGAAAATAAGGTCTTTATAATTAAAATAGTAAAAGATGTAGCAAGTAGGTAAAATAGTACTTAAATATTGTATTTCAATGGGTCTTAGTATTCGTCAAATAGGTCACATCCTCATGAGTGGGAACGTGTAGTTTGCAGCGCCTCAAAGCCTCTCCTGCTTCCCAGGCTTCCAGTGCCCTGTGCACCATCCCTGCAGCCTTCTCTGGCCGCCAGCACACCCAACCACCCTACTACCACCTTCCTACACTGCCCCAGGGGCAAGCCAGCCCAGCCCTGGGTGCTTCCAGATGGTGGGAAGGCAGTAGAGACAGTGCATGGGGTGCTGGAAGCCCACTAAGTCCAAGTTTCCCTGAGCACACCCAGGCTTCCAGCACCCCATGCACCGTTGGATCGGGCCAGGTGCAGTCTGCGAACTGGGGCAATGCCTGCCCAGCTAGCACCCTGCCCGGGTAGCCCCGGGGTGTGCCAGCACCATGGAGGGAAGCACTGGGCTCCCC